TTTTTCTTTCCTTCTACGCTTTAATATTTCTTATACTGATGAAAAAGAAAGGGATTAAACTTTATTTTCTCTTTTTCGGTTGAATTAATCTTATTTTTATTAACAAATCGAAAAAAGAAACTCGGAATAGCTGAGTAGTTTCTTTCTGTATAGTAAAGATAAAATGCGCGAGGGTTTCCGAATATACACGATAAACGCAAAACACGATACACGATAGAACCTGATAAACGATCTACACGATAAACGGAAAACACGATAGAAAACGCAAAACCTGATAAACGGAAAACACGATACGATAGGATACGATAGGATACACGCAAATGGATAAGATAGGAAACACGCACGATAGAACACGATAGAATTGTAAAGAATAACGATGCGGGTACTGTAGTTGGTTTATTTAATACCCAGGAGCAGAGAAGAAGATTTTCAAAGAAATAATGCATTTTCACTAGATACTTATTTAGCCCCACCCTAGCACTAGAACCCCTGACTCCAGGGTCATGAATTTCACAGTTTTGGTAGAGGACTCAATGTTGATTACAATCATGCAAACAGTTTGACTGCTTGATGTCCAGGAGTAAAGAAGAAGATTTTTAAAGATTGCATTAATTTTAGTGGTTTTGGCCCCTCCCCTCAGGCCCCAGGGGGCAGGGATCATGAAATTCACAATTTTTTCCCCTTCACCCATAGATGCTTTGTTTCAAATTTGGTTGAAATTGGTTCAGTGGTTGCAGAGAAGAAGCTGAAAATGTTCAAATGTTAACACACGACGGACGACGCACGACGGACGAAAACGGATAGCAATAGGTCACCTGAGTTTACTCAGGTGACCTAAAAAGTGTTGGATTTAGTTTTGCGTACGAAAACAGCATTACATGATATGGGCAAGATCCGCCTGCATAAGATTGCTTCAAATGACCGGGAAATTTTGAACAGTTTTGTGAAGAAGACTTGAACAAGAACCTTAAAGATATTCAGTTTGGAGAAAAATACTTCTGTGTTACCTATCCAACATAGTCTCGTTCTATCATGGGACTTAAATACAGACTGTTTTGTGTTTCAAATTCAAGAAGATGAAAAACCAAACACTCGACGAGGAATGCTTTTATTTCTTAACAGCATTTTTGACACACTCGGATTTCTGTCGCCTATTACCATAGCAGGGAAAATTCTCTTTAGAGAAACAAATGGTATTGATTGGGACCAGCCTCTACCAACCTCTCTAGACTCCAAGTGGAAGGACTGGAAAACATCTCTGAAAGATATTGTATCATGATGCAAGTTCTCTCTTAATTTACATCTGCAAGAAGCATTGGAGAGGCCATGCCTAATCCAATTATGTAATCTTACTTTAAATAATAAAATATTAATTAAATTAGAATTAATTAAATGCACGAAGCATTCTGAGAATAAACTTTTGCTGTAGTTTTAATAATATTATGTTTTAGAAGCTCCCTCCACATTTTTTGTTTACGGAAAATACGCAGATTCAAGCATTTAAAAGTAGTGTACCGAACAGAAAAGTTACAGGAATCCCCCCTACCCCCTCCCCCCCCCCCCCCCCCCCCCCCCCCCCCCCCCCCCCCCCCCCCCCCCCCCCCCCGAAAAAAAAATTAGAATGTGGTAAATATAGGTTGTTTTTTTTTAATTAATTTTTTTTTTGGTTTATATTTTGTTTTTGCCTCTAAACTGTTTTTGAGGGCCCCCTTCTTATCTATGTAGCTCCGGACTTAAAGTGACCATGGTGTGATTATATGTATGAGTGCTGGGGACACCGACCTGGAAACCCCCCCCCCCTTTTCAACGATTGCTGGATCTGCCCCTGTATGTACTAGTTTATAGGTCCCTAACTATATACTGGTAAAATGACTACGATTAGTTCCTTCAAATTGTTTATTTGGTGTGTAGGTTTTGAGACAATTATATCAGTATATTTTGCGTTAGATGCATTATTGTAGCTCTCCGAAAAAATATTCTGACAGACCGGACTCACCGGAGAGCTACAGTCAGAATCTCCCCTCCATCTGCACTCTACACTAGTCAGGAACATTTTGAACCTTTCTCTTCGTCATTGATTAAAAATAATTTATGCATTCTTCGAAAAGTTAGTTACTTCTGAAGATGGTCCAAAAATGGTATAGCTAAAGTTCGCCGGAATCTTCCTTGCATGTTACTTGTGTGTGGTCGAAGCCCGTAGCCGGGGTTGTCAAAGTACAGATACACAAAGGAAATCAAATATACGCAAAAATACACAGATCTAGCGAACAGAAAGGACAGATTTTTTTCTTCAAATTATATTGCCAATTCGGCGTAAAACATTAATCGATAAATTTATTAGACGTATCAAATCTATATTACAGAAAAATCTCCCCCTCTCTGTGTACAAAAATAAAATAGGGTGGGGTTCCAACCACCAACCCCCCTCTAGATCCGCCCTGTTTATACAAACTTTGCTCTGGTAAAAAGGTTTTTTTCTATTTTCACGCAAAACACGGAAATTCCTTTTTCATGAGATCTTTGGGCGGACAAGTATTTTTTTTTTAATCGGAGTGTCCTTGAAAATGTGATTTACAGTATATACTGTAGTTCGCTATAACACCCCCTCCAATGGAAACATTTGTTTTTACTATTCAAAATAAAACAATAACACAGCAAATTCCCTTTGTGTCGCATATTCAAATTATTACGAATATTTTTTACATTAAAAACTTTCTGACCATTTTTTAAAAATTAAATTCTAAATATCTATATTTTTAGCTTCAGTAGGTCTTATTTTATAACAATACAAAACACAAATTAAACAGGATGAGTTTGTAAATGTTATGATACCTGTACAAATTAGAAAAAAAAAAATTATATCCCCGAGTTCGATTACGGGGGCATGAAATATAGTGTACACCGTGAAACGCTCATTCGGCTCACCTCGGCTGACTACGGTACCTTACATCAATTGATGTTATCGTCCGAGGAGTGCTGAAAGTAAAACGCTTTGAAATCGAAAGTAAGAATAAGAACTGAAGAAGATCGAAGGGATAATTCATGCAAGTGTAAATCATTCTGTTTGAGTTTCTTGATTTAACCTGTGTGAATTACTCCATTAACATCACCACCAACTAGACTAAAACCAAAATTTAGCAGACGGAAGTGCCTTGAATTTGTCAAACTGTAAGTACGGCCTACGGTTAGCATGGTTAGTACCGCGCAAAAGGATTAACACAATTTGCACACGTTAGGTCACATTCTGTCACATAACTGTCTATCTGATAACATTTGGAGTGTCGAATTAAGGCTATCTTGTCAGTGTTAGAATTTTAAATAAGATTTGTTCAAATAATGGCACACTCTTTAAAGGAGAGATAATAAAAAATGAATATTTGTCAGTTTGTTGTCATCTTTCAAATATTGGCCCAGAAAAGTTGAAACTTGTGTGAAACATTTATTACATAGTCTAGATTCAAGTTTGTTCATATCATGACCCCGGGGGTTAGGATGGGCCACAATACTGAATAGGAGATCAAAATTGTACATAGGAATACCATGTAGTTTTTTTTTTTAATCTTTTTATCAAGAACAACAAAGATTGGATTAGTTATTTTGATATGGAAGTATTATTATGCAGTATAGATTCAAGTTTGTCACAATATAGGATCAAAGTTTTACAAAACAATTATTATATATAAAAAAATTTCAAATCCTATTTTCGAGTAAAGCAAAACCATGATTAATCTTTTTGATATGGAAACATCCCTAGGTAGTGTAGATGAATTTTTCTTATTCAAATCAATGAAATCATGACCCTTAGTGGTAGGATGGGCCACAATAGGGAAACGAAATTTTACATATAATGATGATAAGGAATGCCTTATTTTACCTTGTTTTATACAGGACCACAATGTAAATTAGTATTATGTACTAATAGCCTGTGCTATCCTGTCTAAATAAAAGAATTTATTATGATACCTAGCAAATTTTGTCAGTTGATGTATCTTGGATCTTCTGATAATGTCGACCAAAAAGAAGGTCACAGTGACCTTCTTTTTGAATTTTATTGCTATATTGATATATCTCAGGTACTTATTGGTTTAGAATCACCAAACTTTGTCAGTTTATGCATCCTGGGTCTTCAGATAATGTCAACTTAAAAGTAGGTCACTCTCAGGTACTAATTGGCTTAGAATCATCATCCTTTGTCAGTTGATGCATCATAGGTCTTCAGTGTTTTAACCTAAATGTAGTTCATGATGACCTACATTTGGAATTTCAAGGTTTTTTTAATAGATTGTACAATTTATCAGAAGAGGGATTCAAGGCACTTGGGCCTAATGTTCTTGTTAAACACTGATATCCACACACAAATAAGAGGAAACAGTACAACATACTCAAAATGGGTTGATACAAAAAGTCCTATCTGAGTAATATTCTAATTCCCAAGGGATTTTTTTTTAAACTAAGATTACGAATTTTAGAAGAAGATGGCACAAAAAATAATCCCATTGGAATAACTTTCAAATTCCTATGGGAATTTTAATCCTATGGGAAATTTAAATCCTCAGGGAGAAAAAAATTCCCTTAGGAGAATTTTTTTTTTCCTATTGATATATTTCCTCCCATAGGATTTTTTTTTCTCCTTTAGGAAAATAAATTCCCTTAGGAAATTAAATTCTCCCATGGTAAATTGAAGTCCTACAGGAATTTTTAAATATCCTGCAGGATATTAAGAAATCCTGCAGGATTTTGATAATATCCCTTAGGATTTCAGATTTTCCTACAGGAACTTCATATTTCCCATGGGAATTTTTTGTTCAAAGGTGATTATCTCACCTGACAGGTGAGATTTTCCTGTAACAAAGGTAGTTATGAACTCTGTGAGTGATGGTCTACCACTTTGTATACATGATTTTTATGTGAAATGAGAATTTGGCGGGCGCCAAAATGCCACTTTTGAAGTGGCATAATTATCCGGCACAGTGTTTATACATGAACAGAGGATTCCACGAATGTATTTACCTGTATCTTTGAGCGATCTCAGCAACGTAGAATTGCACGTTTTTTCTGATGCATCAGAAAAAGCCATTGCAGCTGCCGCATATCTAAAAGTCGTAGATGCAGACAACAATACCTACCTTGGATTCATTCTAGGCAAGTCCAAATTAGCGCCAGTCAAAGGACATACTATTCCCAGATTAGAATTGTGTGGAGCCGTCCTTGCATCAGAAATTGGGAATAGTGTATTAGAACAGTTAGACATGAAACCTAGTGTGGTGAAGTACTATACAGACAGTAAAGTTGTTCTGGGATACCTTTATAATGAGACAAAACGATTCTACACGTATGTGTCAAATCATGTGTGCAAAATACTGAAAAGATCTTCTGCTGATCAGTGGAGTTACGTACCATCTAGCAAAAATCCAGCAGACTGTGCTACACGAGAAAATACTTCATGTGAACAACTTACAAGCAGGAATGGCTACAAGGACCTCGATGGCTTTTAGAACAGTGTAATGATGATGAGACCATTGAAGATTCACAATACCCATAAATTGATGCAGAGGATGACAAAGAAATACGTCCAGATGTCAACGTCACAAAACTACGGTTGAAACATCCAAGAAACTTTCTAGTTGTTTAACAGAACTGTGTGAAAAATATTCAGACTGGAAAACTCTAATCAAATCAATTGCTATCCTTCGGCATATTGTCCAAACATTCAAACACAAACATCATCATGTGTGTTCTTGATGGCATGTGTGCAGAGAAAGTATAAGTGTTCAGTCATGTGAAGATGCTGAAAAATTCCTATTACGAGAATTACAGAAACAGTTTTACAGCAAAGAGATTCAGTGTCTAAAGGAAAAGAGCTCTCTACCAAAGAACAGTACAATTTCAGCTCTTGATCCATTTTTGGATGGTGATGATCTACTTAGAGTTGGTGGGCAACTCAACAATGTGAAACATGTTATACAAACAGGTGAAATCAATCCGATCATAGTTCCTAAAAACCACCATATCGCTACACTTCTCATAAGGTTCTACCATAAATCCGTCAGACATCAAGGTAGACATATTACTGAAGGAGCCCTGCGGCAGAATGGATTTTGGTTGATCAGTGCAAAACGAACTGTATCATCATACATTCACAAGTGTGTTACATGTAAGAAATTGCGCGGGAACCTTGAATATCAAAAGATGGCTGATCTACCTTGTGATAGACTTACATCTGGTCCTCCATTTACATCAGTCGGGATAGATACATTCGGCCCATAGAAAGTGGTAGCTAGGAAAACGCGCAGTGGAGTGATCAACAGCAAGCAATGGGCTATTATATTCAGCTGTTTGTCTACAAGAGCAGTTCATATAGAGATCATAGAAGAAATGTCAAGTTCTTCATTTATTAATGCTTTACGCCGCTTTGAGTCATTACGTGGACCTGTGAAAGTGTTCAGATCCAACAGAGGCACGAACTTTGTTGGTGCAACAGATGAACTTGGCATACAAGGGTTAAATGTAGAAGATGGGCCCCATCAATAACTATTTGAATCAAACTTAAGCAGTGTGGATTTTTAATTCCCCTCATTCGTCCCACATGGGAGGTTCATGGGAACGCATGATTGGTCTGACTAGGAGGATTCTTGATTCCATGCTGCTGGATCCAAATGCCAAACAGTTAACTCACGAGTCCTTAACTACTTTCATGGCAGAAGTGTGCGCCATTATGAATTCCAGACCTTTGGTACCGATTTCTACAGATCCGGAATCAACACTCGTACTCAGTCCTGCGATGTTATTGACAGGAAAAGTTAACTTCTTACCTGTTTTACCAGAAAGCCTCGACACAAAAGACATGTTTCGTGCACTATGGAAACATGTACAAGTACTCTCCGACATATTTTGGAAACACTGGAGACGAGATTACCTACACAATCTACAGTATCGACGCAAATGGAAAGATGACCGACCAAATTTGAAAATCGGTGATGTAATTCTTTTGAAAGATGCAGCAGTGAATCGCGTCAACTGGCCTTTAGGTGTGATAACTGAAACCTTTGAAAGCAGTGATGGTAAAGTCCGCAAAGCTCGCGTTCGTGTTGGAAAGGATGGACGGAATGTAATTTACACGCGTCCTGTATGTGAAATGGTTTTCCTTACAAGTGGATAGGAAAATTCTGTGATGTGAAATAGTGTTATCAACAAAATTGTGTCATTTGTGATGTCATGTTCCATGATAATTGTGTTTCACAAAATCTGATCTGTAAAATGTTGTGACAGATGTTATATGAATGTCATGTGTTGAGTACATGCATATTGTTTTATCATGATCCATGGTAAAATATTTTTGATAATTCGATGTTTCATCAAGAATTATGAAGTATTGTTGATAATTTCACTATCTTCAGTCATGTGTGTTAACTGTGTTTCAGAGTGAATATTTGGTACATATCATGTTCCATGATATTGATATTTTTTTTAATTTGATGGTCCATCAAGTTTCTTAATTGTCATTTCTTAGAACGTACTGCGTTACTATTGTCCGGAAAGCGTTCCGCTACACATTGTATATACTTGTATGTAAGTTTGTTTAATTTGGTAATATTTTAAATATTAGACGAAGAGTGTGCTGTTATGTGACAATTATGTTTAATTTGATCGGGTTTGGTATTCCATTTTTTGTAAATATATGGTATATAAAATTATATTCTCCCTCACTTCGTTCGTCCGAATATAAATTAATTATACTCTTTATTCTGTATTGAAAGAATAATCAACTCATATGTATGGAATGCTGCTCGTCAAAACGTTTATTACAAATTTAACACATTCGTATTCATTTCAACACCCACTATTTTTAATCATTAAATAATACTTATATATATACATACATATATGTGTGTGTGTGCCTATTTTACTGGTTTCCATTCCTTACAACGTTCTGTACGATCGGTAGAATAACTTTTAAAGCACGCACCTGCTCTTTATATGACCATGTCACGTGACATAAAAGCCACACAGATCCACCACTCTGTTCACACAGGAAATACCCATAACGACAATAATAATAATTATATTCTCCCTCACTTCGTTCGTCCGAATATAAATTAATTATACTCTATTCTGTATTGAAAGAATAATCAACTCATATGTATGGAATGCTGCTCGTCAGAACGTAGAACAATCAAAGAGAAAAGTACATACATGTGTACATATGAGTTGATTATTCTTTCAATACAGAACAGAGTATAATTAATTTATATTCGGACGAACGAAGTGAGGGAGAATATAATTATTATTATTGTCGTTATGGGTATTTCCTGTGTGAACAGAGTGGTGGATCTGTGTGGTTTTTATGTGACGTGACATGGTCATATAAATAGCAGGTGCGTGCTTTAAAAGTTATTCTACCGCTCGTACCTGTCTAAACACACACACACTATATCTGCATATATATTTATTAATATATATTCATTTATATTTTCACGAAAAGACTATTAGACACTTTCAATTTGTTATCTATACAATCCTTAATATAATTGTCTCTGGAATAGTCAGATTTCCAACGTCCATGTATTTTGATCAGACGCTCCGACACATTTTTCTCGGCTGCAGTCGTTTCCCCTCCACTTCGCAGACTATGCAACCCAAGCCTTTTGAATCTATTCCCACTTTTTCCAAAGCTTCTAACAATAACTCTCGGGCTCTTGTATATGAAATCGGCTTGTTAATACCGCACAACATATATTTTCCACATGACTTGTAAAATCTAATTGCTCTGAATACATATTCCTCTGGTTTATCCTGAATTTCGGCTAGATTTAAATAATGCTTAATCCAAGATACAGACACAGCTTCCCTCCTACCTCTGCCAATGTCACTTCGTTACCACGCCTGTATACGTCAGTTTTGCTGGATTCGATGCAAACATTCATGTATCACGGTGTGATTTTTGATAAAAACAATTTTAGTGACATTTAAGCTGACCTTGAAATATACATTTAATTAAATATAATTACTTTTAACACCATGAAACACTATGATTATGATAATTACTTTGTTACTCAAAATGTGCCATTCTACTCTATATGTCATGAGTTATTCTATCCCAGCCACCTGTCACTCATGCTCAGAATTGTGTTAATTGCCATTGTTATATTTTATCATTTATATGTTACACGAATCATTGTTAATCAGTTACTGTATAGGGGGAAAATAACTCGCGGTGTTAATATTCGCTATATTCACGGTGATAACAAATCCGTGAATTTAAAAAACAGTGAATAATTTTTCAAAAATCTTAATGTTTTATTTGGAAATTTGAGAAGAGACTACGATAGGTTTAAATACGATAGGTACCACAGTACATGGTCATTTCAGTAATTACGAGTAGTACTTGTCATTCAATTATTTTAATTAGCACGCTTTACATTAATTTAAATCAACAGATAATAACCTGTATTTGATTAAAGGCTTTTTAATAGCCAACGCTACATGTTTCATCAATCAAAACACGTGGGCCATGAGTTTTCATTACCCGTGCGTAACTAAAGTTACCACGCACGGTGTATTTGTTACCTGCATTATCATGCATATTATAGTTTTATCGACATTTTGATTTTAAAAAATCATTCAAATAACTATCAAACTTACTGAATATTTGGAAGGATATTATTTCGTCGACCTACATTAACACATTTATTACTGTCCAGTGGTTTTTTTTTCGCCGCGTTGTTTTGAAGATCTTGGGGTGTACATGCACTCATTGTAATAGCAAACAGAAAAGGCATTTGACGTTTATAGTCAAGGACTTTTGATAACTGCACATGATTTAATTAATCGTCAACTATTTATTAAGTCTAGCGATTTTATATTAACCTACCCTGTTGTTCGTGAAATAAGACATTACGCTGGTAAATGTTTACATGTAGCTATGATATGGATTAAACGGATATAGACAAGGGAGGTAACGTCTATAACACAAGAATTCCGCGAATTCAAGAAACCGCGATCGTGTCCGATGAGAGAAAACCGTGAAAATTACAACCCGTGAAATTAATCCCCAATACAGTAACTCCTAAGCTTCGGATTGTTCGGGTGCAATTTTTGGATTTCCAGAATTCACCCTACCGACCTAAGTTTATAATAAAATGCTAGTCCATCGTTAGCATTTTTATGTTTTATTGTTGCCGGAAAGTTTGACACTAATTTTCCCCGGTGATAATTTGGTGGAGATATCCTAAGGGTATAACACCCGGGACTGCTGCATATATTTTGTTGCAGTTTGATCCTGAGTACCATCAACTAAGCGAGTTCCCCCAAAACGACCTATCTTCAACAACACCATGCCAACCTGGAGAAAAGGACCTTACCGCTCCTCCCCAACATCTTACCAGCGCCATTGTCTTTCACGTCCTTGGATCACACCAGGACCAGCACGAATTTTCTCAACACCAGGATCCAGTCCACGGTGCTATAGGTGCGGAAACCCCTTCTTCCACGGCCACCTTTTCACGTGTCCAGCTACACGTTCCGAGTGTTTCGTGTGCGGAAAACATGGTCACTATGCGCAAGTATGTTTTTCTTCTGCAACCACACCTTACCGTTCCTCCCAAAGGAAATCATTTCCAGTTGCGTCCATCGATCACTCAACGATCAAAAAGGATCAAGCTAAGGGATCAGGACGGGCCTGCTTGAACCCGTCTGTAGGATCGTCTGACAAAAAGTCGGCAACATGTGATTCTACTGCAGGTGTATGTTTTTCTTGGGCTGCTACTAAATTTAGTCCAATGAGTGTTGCTGTTGCGGAGACTCAAAGGAAGAGCATACTTTGTCTGCAGACCAAGCCCGTAAGCAAACGGCGCAGGGATTCAAGAAGAATAAAGGATTATTACGATAGGTTGCAGTTAGTAAAATCTTTACCATTCCAAGACCTTACGTTCAGAAGATATTTGCAATTTATTCAAATCAACAGGCCATACCACCCAACTAAATGCGTTACAGAATGAAAACAAGACCTTAAAGACAAAGATAAGTGAACTTATAACAAAATGCGAAAATCTTCAAACAGTAACATCCGCCCTCCATAATAGAATATCAACATTGCAAAGCAACAAAAACCCAAAGAACAACGGAAATGGGAAATTCAACTCTAAGCGTTATACCAAAAGACATCATTTTCTTCCGCTACCGACACCAACCAAGAGTTACTGGTACCAACAACCCAGTAATGTGCATTTCAGTACCAACAACCCAGTGCTGTGCATTTCAGTTCCGGATATTCCTGAGACGAGGACGTCTCATTTTCCGAAGCGAGAGGGAAATATCACGGTGTGATTTTTGATAAAAACAATTTTAGTGACATTTAAGCTGACCTTGAAATATACATTTAATTAAATATAATTACTTTTAACACCATGAAACACTATAATTATGATAAATACTTTGTTACTCAAAATGTTCCATTCTACTCTATATGTCATGAGTTATTCTATCTAAGCCATCTGTCACTCATGCTCAGAATTGTGCTAATTGCCATTGTTATATTTTATTATTTATATGTTACACGAATCATTGTTAATAAGTTAACTCCTAGGTTTCGGATTGTTCAGGTGCAATTTTTGGATTTCCAGAATTCACCCTACCGAATTAAGTTTATAAAAAAGTGCTACTCCATCGTTAGCATTTTTATGTGTTATTGTTGGCGGAAAGTTTGACACTTATTTTCCCCGATGATAATTGTTATAAATTGGCTCTTTCATACACGATCGTCAGCTGGAAACTGGACCTTGCATTGTCCACGCCGACACACAAATCGAGTAGAAACACCAAGTTTTGGACCGTTAATAAATTATTAGACGAAGTACCGACTTGTGTATTTCTACTGGTTATAATTGATGGAGATATCCTAAGGGTAAATCAACGCCCGGGGCTGCTGCATATATTTTGCAGTAGTTTGATCCCGTATACCTTAGACGAGCGAGTTTCTCTACGTTATGTGGACTTCTCAGCATGATAATGGACAACTTTCAACTTCGACCATCTTGGACGTCAGGGACTTTTCCCACAACGAATAGTGAAAAACATCCACACCGTTTCACAAAGTGCTTCAGATGTCATAAACCTGGACACTTCGCCAAGAACTGCAATTTTCGCATCATACAGAAGTCA